AAAGAAAGAAAGAAAGAAAGAAAGAAAGAAAGAAAGAAAGAAAGAAAGAAAGAAAACTACCACCTCCTTGCTCATATGTAGATCCTAGCTTCTAAATGTTTACTACAGTTAGATAGTAGTAAGTACAGGAAAAGGAAAAGGTCAGGAAATTCAAAAGGAGCCCAAGGGATGGAAGAGGAGACCAAGCCTAATTCTCATGCTTACTGGCCAGATAGTCTCCACGACCAACAGAAAGGTGCCTAGTATACACTAGGACTCACCACTCTAGTTCAGGGCCAAACCAAAGGAAACCTCAAGAGCCTTGGGATCTAGGTAGGCTGTTGAGGAACCTGGAAATCCTGATTACCACTCTGCCATGTGGGCTGTCCTGACGCCACCAGGGGGAGCCCTTGCGTTGGGACCATGGGAATGTTGGAAGCCCAAAGGCCCCTGGGGCACAGAGCTGTGAAGTATAACTGGATAGAGAGGACCAGAGTTCTGAGTAAAGACCATAAACGACCCTTAGCCTTGAGGAAACACAGCAAATGTGACTGTGAGCAGTGCTGAGCAAAACGAAAGTCCTGCAGTCGATCGCCTCTTAGGGGATAAGCAAGCAGGGACTTCCTACCTACTCTCCTCTGCTCCAACCTGATCCAATAGTGAGTGTGAGTCCAGAATAGCCAGGGCTATAAAGAGAGAAAACAACACCAACAATAATAATTGGGTTGGAGGCCATTTCAAGTTATATAGTAAGTTTCAAGGCAGCTTGAGTGGGACACCCTGCACCAAACTATAAACAAACAAACAAAACCAGATTTTATTTTTAGTCCATAAGAAGCAATAAAACTCAGCAGGCTGTATATAAATCAGATCACAGGTCATTCACCGGGCCCACTTCCAAATCCCCATGACAGCTGGGAGATCTGCCCCCTCCCCAAATCTAGGAACTGAAGTTTGGGTTTCCAGCCATGAGCAGCTCTGGAAGGAAACAGAAAAAAAAAAAAATCAGAACCCAGAATCATCATCGTCAGTCAATCAGAGCATCTTTCCTTCCGCATCCTACCAGTGACACTCCAAGCTAGATAAAGCCACCTCTCTCTTTAAGCTCCAGTTCGTCCCCTGCTAAAAGGAGGACAGCTGAACTTGTCAGAGCTACTTGTAAGAGGTAAATGGATTCATGCCTTCAAACACCGCGACCATGCCTGTCTTTAAAAACGGGTGTAGTTTATTTCAGCTTCCTCTCACACCCCCATTAAACGCACCTGCCTGCTTAGCAACACTTAAAAGCTTTCTTTCCTCTGGGCCCGGAGCAGTTTTTGTGAAACTAAGTAGCCATCAGCAGGGGCAGAGTTGGGCGAGGGCGTCACTAAAGGAGATCTCAGTGTTCTGAGCTTTCCAGTCTAACTTTAGGGACAAGATGTACTCGGCTCCCAGAAACTCCCCCAGATGGGATGTGATGGGAGAGGACCAGACTCAGGCACAAAGTGAAACCTTTGCAAAGGGAGGGATGGCAAGGAAGTCTTGGGACCAGCGGGCTCAGCCTTCTGCCCACACACCGCCCCCTACCCCTATGCAGCAGGTCCAGCTGGGAGGATGGAGGCCCGCCCACTCCCAGCCCCGAGGGAGGGAGGAGCCACAGCCCAGGTGGAGCAGGTGAAGAGCCAGGGTTCCAGCTCGTCCCGGACAGGGGAAGTGACTTCAAGCTGGCGGGCGGAGGCGAGAGCACTGTTGGCCCCAGGATCCAGCTCTGGGAAGCTGGCATTGTCTCCCAGTCGCTGCCTCGGAGGACCACAATGGAAGAGGTAAGGCACCCGCTTGCGTGTGGGCTGTCACCTTGCCAACTTTAGTTCCTTTCAAAGGAGGAAGCCCTAGAGAAAGAGCTGCCGGTGTGTCCTGGGCCGGACCAAACACGTCAGGTGTCCCGCTATGAAACTAGCATGCTGGCCTTGCTCAGGCAGCCTATGTCCTGTTTCTACAGAACCCGAGGCGCTCTCTCTATAACTCAGGCCACAGTTCAAGTGCCTGTCACTTCATTGTTGACTTTCTTTCTCTGTCCGGCCCCTGTGGTGGCAGATGGGTGTCCAGGTTCAAGGACAGAGAGCATGACTCTGGGAAAAGGTGGCCTCGTGGTAAGTGGTATGCCCTGTGGCGTTTTTACATCGCTGTTCCCTGTTAACTCTGGGCTGGGGCAAAAGTGCTAGTGCCCTTGAGCCTTAGGGCTCTCACTTCTGTGAGACTGAAGGTGCGTGAAAAAAAAATAGAGTCCAGGCTTGTGATGGCTCCAGAGGCAGAGGCTGGGGTGTTTGAACACTAAAGCCAGTCTGAGTCACACAGGGGGACGCCGGAAGGTTTTGGTTTTGACAAAAGCAACCCAAGGTTTTGAATGGTTTTGATTGGCTGAATGCTGTTGACATATTCAGAGATTTTGCCTGACTAACCCCATCTTCTCTAGTCCTTGTCCTGCTGTTTTATTAGTGGCTTGCATTTCGCAGATGGATATAAGCATGTTACGCCATTGTCTCTATTAAATATTTGGGTGCAAATTGTTTATTCCTGAAATTGTGTTTCTTCCCACCCAGATGTTTGGTTTACAGTCAGGATGGTGGATCCATTCATCTGTGACTAGACAAGGACAGCTGGGGAGTTTTAAAGGGACTCCTGGATCTCTGGTGGTTCACTCCATACAGTTAGTTGAGTTTTGGAAAATGGGAGCCAGTGACATCAGTTCCAGCCCGTTTGTGGTTGCTTTCATGTTTAAAAACTTCTTCTTTTCGTGGGGCGGGGGGGAAATTGTTTTTATTTAGAAAAGGGCTTACTTTACAGCTCAGGCTGGCCTTAATCTTTCAAACACTTGAATTACAGGCATATGTCACCACATCGACCTCTTTTGGTCAACCTTTGGGACCAGCTTCCATATTGGCAATTTGCCAGGCTGAACTGATTCTTGTGGATTCAGAGAAAAAAGGAAAAACAATTTACATTCTGCCCTCTCTGGCTAGCCAGGATCCGAACTGTCCACCACTATTTCTGCTTATCAACCTGATGGGACAAAGATCTGGAGGTCATTGTCCCCGAGGTTTTTAGGTGAGGAAGCCGAAGGACAGTCCGTTACTGCTACACGGTATGGCACGAGCAAGGATTAATTACTCCAGCAGAACAGACAGAATGTACAAAAAGTGCCAAAAGACAAATTTGCTTCCTAGTAACATTTTATAGAATAAGATCCAGTGCACTTCTTCCATGGCTCAGAAAGATGAGGGCAAAAGACCCAAAAAGAAATATAGTTTCGCCGGGCGGTGGTGGTGCACGCCTTTAATCCCAGCACTTGGGAGGCAGAGGCAGGCGGATTTCTGAGTTCGAGGCTAGCCTGGTCTTCAGAGTGAGTTCCAGGACAGCCCGGGCTACACAGAGAAACCCTGTCTCAAAAAAAACAAAAAACAAAAAAAACAAAAAAAAACAAAAACAAAAACAAAACAAAACAAAAAAAAGAAATATAGTTTCTCATCTGGAAAGGATCCATATATTGTTTTAGAAAGCCAACCAAACATTCCTTTATATAATCTATACATTTTGAGCACCTCCATTATGGTCAATTCCCTTTTTGGGTGCATGGATACAGCTAGGAACCAAACAGCCCAAAATCTCTGCGTTAGCCAGGCACTCTGGTACAAGTGTGTAATTCCAGCACCTAGAAGGCTGAGGCAGGATCAAAAGTTCGAGGCCAGACTAGGCTATGTAGCTGTATAAAACACATCCATGAAGCTTTATATCCTAGTAAGAAAGGGAAAGGAAACAAAAATCCAAGGGCTAAAGGCAGCTAATGCAATGCAGATGTTCAAAGCAGAGAAGGGTCTAAGATCATGAAGCAACAGAGAAGACTGCCATTTTAAAGGGGACAATGTCAAAGGTCACTGTAAGGAGGAAACTGAGCAGAAACTTTAGAGTGTGGTTGTATGGATGTTTTGGGGGAAAGATTCTGTTGAGAGGTACAAGTTCATTTAAGCTGCTTTGATAAAGAACAAACAGCCGAATGTAAACTATAGAAGCAGAGGAAGCAAGGGTGGATGCTCACATGGTAAAGGCTGTGGAACCCTTAGTAGAAGCTAGCTTTGCCCAACCATGGCGAGTAGCTATACGGCACCATCTGGCTTTCATTGCCTAAGAATCAGGTTTGGAAACTGAGGGCCAGACTGTGAGAGCATCAGCTGGCTGGCCTGGTAGAGGGAACCTGCTTAGATCTAAGGAGAAGTGTCTCTGGCCAGGCTTGCAGGAATGGTGGTTACAAGTGTCAGATTCTGGGTCTCTGACTTTGGATGATTGAACTAACAAGGTTTTAGCTTTATGAGGCACAGAAGTGGCATCCATTTGGTAAACACTACTTTTAGCTGTGAATTTTGATCTTTTCCTAGATCAGCCATGTGTGGCACTATACAGGTAAATGAATATTCTATGTGTTCTTTGTTGCTAAGCGGAGTGTTGGTAGGTTGGGTGTATCAACTGCATTTTTAGCTTACGATATGGTATTTTCTACTTTCCGTGGGATTATTATGCCATTATCCTTTGATAAGTCAAGGTGCATCTGTGTGTTAAAGGTAGAGTCATAGTGGTATACTTAGAGAAGGGACGGAGGGAGGAAGAGGATTGTTGATGACCCAAAGGCATAAAGGCTGAACTCGGAGGAAGGATGGAGCCAGCACTTTTTAGAGATGACTTAATACTGAGCAGTTTAGAAGGAGACCAGGAGTCAGTTTTAGACATGGGATGATTGAAGGGCTAATTATACAGAGGAACGAATACTCAGCTTCAGAGTTCACCAGAGAGGTTGAAGCAGGAGAATGATCAGAATAATATCTACATTAGAACCGTGCTGACGGTGCATAGGTATTTAAGACCGAATGGTGTTAAAACTGACCTCACATTCTCCAACATCTTCCTCAGAAGGTGGAAGCTGGCTCCCTATACTGTGTCTGGGCAAAACTGCAGGCTGCCTTGAACATTGCAGGTTGCCACTGTTAGCACGCTGTTCCCGTCTTGATTTGAGAACTGATTCTTACAGCCCTGAGATAGCTTTTTTTTTTTTTTACAGCAGCTTTTATGCTGAAGATAGCCTCATGCGCACCCCTGAATGACAGTTCTGGATGAGCCTAGCTTGCTAGCTTTCCTGCAAGGCTACACTCAGGGCCCCACAGACCACACCAGCACCAGGCAAACCCTACAGAGTAGCTTTCATCAACACCCTGTGGATAGAAAACTCACCCAACTGGGCCATGTTAATAGTCTCCTCCTACACAATTGGGAGATGCAGAAAGTGGGATTTATGTTCGTTTTAGGTCGCTCAATTTTCTGTTGTTTGGTTCTGTAATGGTAGGTATAAAAACAAATAGATACCTTTAGTTATTAAAGGAAAAGTTATTTTTATCTGAGCATGGTAGTACACACCTCTAATCCTAGCATTTAGAAAGCTGAGGCAGGAGGACTGTAAATTTAAGACCAGCCTGTGCTACATAGTGAGATTCTATCTTTAAATAAATAAATAAACAAACAAACAGGGCTAATCACTGCCACACTGCTTTAATCCCAGCACTCCAGAGGCCAAGAATGTAGAGCTCTGAGCTCAAGGCCAGCCTTATCTACAGAAGCAGTTCCAGACCATTCAAGGTTACATAGTGAGATCCTGTCCCAAACAAACAACAGCAAAAATTTCTTTCTTGTAAAAATATATGGTTTGGAGGAATTCTGTAAGAGCATGTTTTGAGCTGGCTCAGTTGGTAAAGGGCTTGCCATACAGGCATGAAGACCTAAACTTAATCCACAGTACCCATGTCAAAAACGGCAGGCATTGTGGTGTATGCTTACAATTCTCCAACTGGAAAGGCGGAGACTGGAGGATCCCTGGGGCTTGATGGACAGTAGTCTGGCAGAATCAGTGAGCCCCAGGTTCAGTGGGAGAGCCTGCCTCAAAAACGAAGGTGGGTGGCTCCTCAGGAGCCACATCTGAGGTGGACCTCTGGTCTTTACATGCATATGCAAATATGTATACATACACACAATTATGTGCACATACCTCTCTCTCTCTCTCTCTCTCTCTCTCTCTCTCTCTCTCTCTCTCTCTCTGTCACACACACACACACCCACACACACACACACACACACACACACACACACACACACACACTCAAGGCAGGGGCTGCTTTACAGACCCTCACCCTCATACTGAGAGGTTGCTAAGTCCTTTTACAAATGCAGAGTTAAGTGGTATCCTAGCCTGTGCTCTCGGCCAGGGGTGTTTTCCCTTGGGTCCAGTCTTGGCAAGAGACAATTGTGGAATTTTTTAGTTAGAGCTTACCAGTCAAGGTATCAGCAAATGGGACTTACATGTTTGATGGATGAGCTTGAATCACATTAAGAATCAAGCCACATTGAAGTTCACCTCTGCCCATTGGCAGCCAAGTGACTCGAGCAAGTGCTGGAGTTGGGAAATCTTTCAAAGTCCAACCAGTTTAACAACTCCCATTTTACAAGGAAATTTGAGTCCCAGGGGCAGAAAATTGGCAGCGGTTTGAAACTACCCATCCAGTCTCTGTAGCTTGGATATCCTGTTCTTACTCATGTTGAGTTGGGAGATCTGCTTCTTAGGCCCAGCTCTCATTGTTTTATGGACATTGAGCAAGCATCTTCCATGGGCCAGGTCCCCCATTAGCGTCTGAGAGGGACCTGCCTTACTGATGTCTAGTGCCTCAGCCTTTCAGAAGAGTGTTAAAGAAAACAAATGGCGGAAAGTAGAATGATGAAGACCATCCCA